GTACGGTTTCTGGGCGCTTGGTCAGCGCTACCCAGCCCGTCTTGCTGGCTTCTGCGAACCATCAGCCTCAGCTATGCGATTCAGTTCGCCCGGCGCCCGCCCAAGTTCAGCGGTATCCACTTCACTACAGCGAAGGCGGCCGATGCCCCTGTTCTACGGGCAGAGATCGCAGTCCAACTGGCGAAGGATGCAATAGAGCCGTTCCCTGCAGCTGATATGAGGTCGGGGTTTTACAGCCCTTACTTCTTTGTACCCAAAATAGGCGGTGGGTTACGGCCAATCTTGGACCTGCGAGTTTTGAACCGGGCCCTTCATCGGCTAGCGTTCAAGATGTTGACGCAGGAACGCATCTTCGGGTGCGTCCGTCCCCGAGATTGGTTTGCAGCGATTGACCTGAAGGACGCGTACTTTCATGTGTCGATCCTTCCATGCCACAGACCATTTCTGTGGTTTGCGTTCGAAGGACGGGTATATCAGTACAAGGTCCTGCCCTTCGGGCTGTCCCTGTCTCCCCGTGTCTTTACGAAGGTCGCGGAGGCAGCTCTTGTTCCCCTCAGAGAGCAGGGTGTTCGCGTTCTCAACTATCTAGACGATTGGCTTATATTAGCACAGTCTCAGGATCAGTTGTGCGAGCACAGGGACCTGGCACTTCGGCACCTCAGCCTGTTGGGCCTTCGAGTCAACTGGGAAAAGAGCAATCTTTCCCCGACGCAGAGGAACTCTTTTCTCGGTATGGAGTTGGATTCGGTCGAACAGACAGCACGCCTCACAGAGGAACGTGCGCGGTCGGTGCTTGCCTGCCTGAATACGTTCAAGGGCAGGACAGCGGTCCCACTGATACTTTTTCAGAGGCTCCTGGGGCATATGGCGGCCGCAGTGGCACTTACACCGCTCGGCCTGTTACATATGAGACCGCTCCAGCACTGGCTTTATGGCCGAGTCCCGAGGTGGGCGTGGAAGCGCGGGTCCAAGTTACACTGGCCTGTCGCCAAACCTTCACCCCGTGGTCAGATCTTGCGTTCCTCCGGGCAGGGGTACCCACAGAGCAGATCTCCAGGCATGCTGTGGTCTACACGGATGCCTCCACCACCGGGTGGGGTGCCACGTACAACGGGCATGCAGTCTCAGGGGTTTGGACGGCCCCGCAGCTGCATTGGCACATCAATTGCCTAGAGTTGTTAGCAGTGCGCCTGGCCTTGAACCGTCTCAAAGGGCGCTTACGAGGCAAGCACGTACTGGTCCGAACGGACGCCGACGGTACCCAAATTCTCGACAAAAGAGAAGTTTCCTTTATCTCTGGGTCCCAGGAGGGCACGGAGAGTTGCGGACGGACTAATGCCGGACCTCACTCATCCTCCTCCTTCGCCAGGTTTCTGGGCGCTTGGTCAGCACTACCCAGCCCGTCTCGCTGGCTTCTGCGAACCATCAGCCTCGGCTATGCGATTCAGTTCGCCCGGCGCCCGCCCAAGTTCAGCGGTATCCACTTCACTACAGCGAAGGCGGCCGATGCCCCTGTTCTACGGGCAGAGATCGCAGTCCAACTGGCGAAGGATGCAATAGAGCCGTTCCCTGCAGCTGATATGAGGTCGGGGTTTTACAGCCCTTACTTCTTTGTACCCAAAATAGGCGGTGGGTTACGGCCAATCTTGGACCTGCGAGTTTTGAACCGGGCCCTTCATCGGCTAGCGTTCAAGATGTTGACGCAGAAACGCATCTTCGGGTGCGTCCGTCCCCGAGATTGGTTTGCAGCGATTGACCTGAAGGACGCGTACTTTCATGTGTCGATCCTTCCATGCCACAGACCATTTCTGTGGTTTGCGTTCGAAGGACGGGTATATCAGTACAAGGTCCTGCCCTTCGGGCTGTCCCTGTCTCCCCGTGTCTTTACGAAGGTCGCGGAGGCAGCTCTTGTTCCCCTCAGAGAGCAGGGTGTTCGCGTTCTCAACTATCTAGACGATTGGCTTATATTAGCACAGTCTCAGGATCAGTTGTGCGAGCACAGGGACCTGGCACTTCGGCACCTCAGCCTGTTGGGCCTTCGAGTCAACTGGGAAAAGAGCAATCTTTCCCCGACGCAGAGGAACTCTTTTCTCGGTATGGAGTTGGATTCGGTCGAACAGACAGCACGCCTCACAGAGGAACGTGCGCGGTCGGTGCTTGCCTGCCTGAATACGTTCAAGGGCAGGACAGCGGTCCCACTGATACTTTTTCAGAGGCTCCGGTCCAGCTGATTTGGAGACGTTTCGGAGCCGCTCAGGTAGACCTGTTTGCTTCTCCAGAAACCTCTCACTGCCAGTTGTTTTACTCCCTGACCGAGGGAACACTCGGCACAGACGCACTAGCACACAGCTGGCCGCAGGGCCTACGCAAGTATGCATTTCCCCCAGTGAGCCTTCTCGCACAGACACTGTGCAAAATCCGGAAGGATGAGGAGACAGCCCCTCCTTGGCCAATTCCTCTGAGGAAGGACCTACTGACTCAGAGACAGGGCACCATTTGGCACCTGCGTCCAGACCTTTGTAAACTCCATGTCTGGTCCCTGGACGGGACGCGGAGGTTCTAGGTGACCTACCCCAGGAGGTAGTGAACACTATCACTTCGGCAAGAGCACCGTCTACGAGACACGCTTACGCCTTGAAGTGGAACCTGTTCGTCGAGTGGTGTTCTTCTCGCCGAGAAGACCCCCGGAGATACCCTATTGTGGTTGTGCTTTCCTTTCTGCAGCAAGGGCTGGAGCGAAGGCTGTCTCCCTCCACCCTCAAAGTCCAGGTTGCTGCTATTGCTGCGTACCATGACCCGGTGAATGGGAAGTCCATAGGTAAGCATGACCTCATCATCAGGTTCCTTAGACGGGCCAGGAGGTTGAAATCTACCCGGCCCCCCTCTATACCCTCTTGGGACCTGTCTCTAGTGCTAAAATCACTACAGCAGGGCCCATTCGAGCCTTTGCATTTA